GAACGAGATTAATGTATATATATATATATTTTTTAAATATTCGTGGTATGCAGTTTCTTGCTTTTCAAGGCTCGACCAACTGCAAGATTCGATTTACTATTAAAGATACCCGTTTTAGAAAGTAGTTTGTACTATATAAAGACAGAAAAATGAAAGATCACCTTATAAGACCAACGACAGAGTTCCAGCGAGGAGAAATTTTTAACACGAGCCGCGAAAGATTTGTAGATTTTCCACTACTCCGAGAGAAACGTGGAATTCCTTTAATTTCACGTTCAATAAAAAGAGACGCAACTTGCGAGGAACTTGTAAGGAGCCCGTATACGTGTATATATTTCCCAGAAAGGGATCATCTGTTACACTTTTCACTTGCAAAAAACGACAAAGATTCCCGCGAATATTTATCCTTAAACGATATATAAAAATGATCCATAAAAATTATATTCCATTTCTGCAAAGATATTAAAAATTCGCGCTACATATCTGTCAACGCTCGAAAATTGATTTGGCAGAGACTTCTGTTTCCCAATTTTGTTGCACAGCTCTTTCGCAAATAACAGTTTCGAGAAATGTAAATTATCGTTCGCGCGAATTACACATGCATCCTCTCGCAAATATTTTCGTCGAGAGCCACTCAAAAGCATCGAGTGTTCGAAATATCGATATACCCGAAGATCGTCTCTAAATTTGGCGCGAAACGAGAATCTCTTTGATCTTCTCCTTCCGAAGATTACGCGATGCGCTTTGACGACCAGATTTCATCGAAACGGATGCGCTAATTTATTATTTCTCTCGCGGGTAAAGAAAAGAAAAGAAAGAGATCTTGAGAGTTTAACCTTGCCGCGAATTCTTCGACCAAACTTTCGAAATGACCAACAGTCGCCGACCAATTAATTTAACCGATTAATCTAACCGACTTGTCGGCGAATTACTTTAATTAATTAATCGTCCTCCAAGTTCGAGCGAATTGCGCATTATCCGGGATAACGTTTGAACCTCCAAGGTTTAAGTAAAATGTTTGTTTAATTTTAATTGGTTCGTTGAAGATATGATTAATCACGAGGCGGATATTTTTTATTACGTAAGAGCTTTTTTTGTATTCCTTGATAGTAATTTTGCGAAAGACAATTAAATACTTTTTAATGGAAGAACTTGTACAAGATACTTAAAATATTTGATTAAAATCTATAGATTTTCTTTTTCCTCCGATGCTCCTTATTTGTTCCTGCATTAAATAATCGATATAAATTTACAAAACGTTATCGTTGGTCAATTAAAAAGTAATCTTTTACTTTCCTTTTCACGAATTTCGATCAATCGCAATTTTCAATAAATCAATCCTTCTAACTTTTCAGAAAACTCAACTTGTTTGATTCGATTTTACAAAATTTTACTCTATTTATAAACGATAATGGAATACTTTTTACTAGAAATCGTATAACTTGTAATCTATTCTGATTTTTACAGAACAATTTCCATATGTAATCTAATTTTTAACTATTAAAAATAATCGTCGAAAGTAGATTCTCTATCTAAAACTTAACTTAAACATTACATCTAATAATCTTCATTTACCAATACAGCCAATACACGAACGAGTATTGTCGAGAGACGCACTCGAGTAACATCTGTCCAATTAATTCCGGCCGTTCGACATAACCGCTTAATTAATTACCCACGAACCAATTAATCCTTCGCGTCAGTTAACACGGTTGCAAAACGTCTTCGGCCATCTTAAGCCATCTAAGGGAAAAAAAAAAAAAAAAAGAAGCTACACAGTTTCGCGTCATTCGGCTAGAGAGAAGAGGCGTTCGTTCGAGCGATCAACTAACGACAAGCTGAGCAACACATGACTTAAACGGATCTCCCGCGGTTTTTGCCACACAAGGGTGACACACGAGAAGTTTTTGCTTTTTCTCGCGATCGTGCGAACGAGGAGGGTTCAACGAGTCCATCGTGTCGAAACACACGAGTGGAAACCACGAGTCATTTTTGTTTCGAGCCGGCTCTGCCCTTCGACCCCTTTCGAGCCGACGAATATTCAAAAGGGGTCGGCGAAGTCTGTCGTTTCCGGGCAATCGAAAAAAACCTGGAGGAAGATAGAAGATTGCTTAAGTCGTTGGGAAAGTGACCTTTGAATTACTTAACCTCGATGAAATATCTGGATCCATAGGGAGGTTCAAGTTGCGCGATACATTTCGAAATTGTGCCGTCGTAAATTCAATTGGATTGGTATTCGTATTTAAACGTTTCGAGGAGAGGTATTCCGATATAATGGATTTTTTAAATACGGATTATATAAAAAAAATAAGGATCGAGAGTATTATTTAATGGTAGAATATTTACGAGGCATGTTCTTAAAATAAGATTCATTTGAAAATAAACGTATAAGATATAAATGATTTTTCAATTAAAAAAATATTTATATTACTTTTTCACGTAGCCCAATGGTAAAGAAATCTGCCATTAAAACCTTACCACTATGCGTTGATGTATATTGTTCTTTGGCTTCTTCGATTACCGAACGTGAGAAACATTGGAAAATTAAACAGATAATTCTGATATTGTGAGTCGGTAATTTTTTTCTTTTTTCGAATTTTCGCATTAAATCCTTTTGTTAAATCAATTGTCATTTTTAAATTGATTAGTCGTTATGAATATTTTTGCTTTTGTCGAAACAAACGACGCCGTTTCCTTACTTTTACTATCACTGATTGCCCATAAACCTCGCAAAACTGTCTATTGTTTTTTGCTAAAAATAGATATAACTAAAACGAACATCACAGTTGGCGTGATTATTTATTCTACCACTTGTTGTAAATTATTGGCATACGATAATAAATGCCACATTACGAAACAAACTTTGCTTAAGAAACATGCCTAACATATCGCGTTAAATCTCCTAATAATATAATATCTCCTATGTAATGAAACGTATCCAACAACCCTTCGCTATTCCAAAAAAAAAAAAAAAAAAAATTTCATCCTTTCGACCAATCACAATCCAAACTTATCTCGCCCTTATCGATCCCCTTCTTCTTATCCTTTCCTGCTCGCGAAAACAAAAAAAAAAAGCAAAAAAAAGCAAAAAAAACCCAAGAGAAGACCTCGAAAGAATTCGGCAGAAAATTCCGAGTCACGTAACACGGCGAATAGAAATGGTGGGAGGATGACGGATCGCTTCCGCGTCGACTTTTAGAAGCGGCGTGTGCAGCAACGTGTGTCGGCCTGCGATCGGAATCCTCTTGTTTGCGCCGCGCAAATATCGCCTCGACGCCCTGTGCCGACACGCATCGGTGCATCACCACACGCCACTTGGACGCCGCGGCCTACAAGGACGACGCATCGACATGCCAACGAATAATTGCACCGTGGATTTAACGCGTACAAGCGGCTTGACTCTGTTGCGCGAATGCGGAGGAACCGGTCGCTTTTCCCGTCGAGCCGCCGCGCCTCCGCCCGTTTTAAATTCGATACCGAGGGGGCCGTCGGTTCTGGAACAGGTGTACCAATTTGGCCAGATCGAGAGAGGGATCCCGGGATAATAAGCGAATCGTTTGATCCTGATACGATCTGAATACGGCGAGATGTTAACCGTTTCGAGAAGTGTGAATGTTTAGGTGTTGGGGCGGATTATTTATATGATAAGATAAGAATTGATGCGCGAAGAATTTTTCGGGGAGGAGAAAAGAGAAGAATACGATTAGTGTGGAATAATATTTTTTTTTTTAAACGGGATTGTAGATTATTTGGAGAATGTAAAAAGAAAGAAAAGAGTAGAAGAGAATAATAAGAAGTTCAAAGAAGTTCGAAGTTGACGATTTATGGAATTGAAATAAGTGTAACTCGAAATAAAAGGATCGATTTCGCGCAAATAGTTGTTGTTTCGTTGAATTGACGTTATTCGGATGATTCGAGCGATATTTAATCAATAAGTTTATTTATCCGTGAACATGGAAGATTCGAGATTATTTACGTATCGTTCTGGATAATCGAATACACGCCGAGGGTATCGAAATTCCTTGCCTACCCAAGTGGACGAGAACGAATTTCGAAGAGACGAGAATTTAATACGACTTTGCGTCAGTCACCGAAACCGATAGGACGTTGAAAGACAAACCTCGAAGGCGAAAACTGGCTTACGCTTTCGGGTGTCATTCAAGGCATTTAACATTGTAGAGGCTTCTAAAAACGACCATAACCGAAGTAAGCGGGGCAAGAATAAAACGAGAGAGGATGTAGAAACAAGAATGCGACGAGTTGGGTCCAGCCGGTCATGGGCGAAAACGTGTTTTGGAATCTCGCGCGCCGATCATGGCGTCACGTTCAATTTGTTGTGCGCGCGGCCTCGGCGAGAACATTGATAAAGTAGATGATCGATTCCTAACCGAGCCGTGTTGTGTCGTGTTCAAGAAGAGTTTCGCCCTTGGAGAATGTGATCGTATTAACGCTTCATTAAAAACGTCGCTCGATAATGATTGAAACTTAACAACGCGAAATCTAAGATTCTTTGTCGTAACGAAAATTTTCTCATAAAGTTCTCATGAAAAAGCGAATTGGATCGAGAGACGACGAATGAAAGAGATATTCGTTTAAACTTTGTCGATCGTAGCGATGATAAACTCGTTAACTCGAAATTGATGCAAATACTTGGGGACAATTGAAGCTTGCTAGAGAGATGACGAACAGAAATTTAGAAATGCAAACACAAGGATAGATTTTCTTGATGATTGAGAAAGTATCAATGGGTCAAACGAGGCAATTGCAATGGAATAGATCCATTTGAACTATCATTAAAGACTATCGAAGAGCGATACTGTCCTAGATAAAGAATCTAAATATAATAAAGAATCTGTTTATTTTCGCGTAAAATCAGCTAGCATATATTTCTCTATTAATAACGAACGATAAGTCTCGTTCATAAGAATTTCTCTTATCTTGTCTCCCGACGAGACAAGATAAAAATTGTATCGTAGAAATTTTTTCGTAAAAAGACTCACGTTGACTTTGGCGAGATACAACTCCAACTCCTTGTAAGGATCCATCTCCGATTTAGTTGGGATCACCATCTTCCCACTTTCATCACCACTTTCCACTATTCTCAACTGATTCACTGTTTTCGAGCTGGGTAAACCCGAAGCGACGACACTTCCTTTCGAGCCATCGACACGCAACCCGCCGCTGTCTTGTATGGTCTCCATGCTCTACTGTCACCTCGATCTCACGCGCATTTTCTTCTGCACCTGTAACAGAGATTAACTCAACGGTCAGTGCGTTATTTAAACGAGTCGTGACGCATAAGAAAAGTTCGCGACACGTCGATACGACTCTCAATTTGCGGGTCACCGTGGGTTATCGAAACTGGGTATATATCGTATAGCGCCATGTAATAACTATAACGTTCTTATCGTTTCATAATTATGTCGATGTCTGTCTCCTATATCTTAGCCGACTTGTTCTCTAAACTTTTGCGACAAATGTTATCGAATATTTATATTATCGAGAATAAATATTCAAATCTTCGCGAAACAAAATCGTCGATTTATACACCGCCTTCCTTCGCTAGGTACCTCCCCTCCCTTTTGATTCGTATTTGCTCTTCGAAATGGGCCGTGATTAATATCATAATATCGCTGAGGGTACGAATCGACGCTTGAAACGATGAAAGAGGAGAACAAAAGGAGAGAAACGTGGTGGTGGTTACCTAGAGGCAAAAGGATTATAATTAGCCCTAGTAGTGTGACTCACTACTAGCCACGGGGCTCGTGTAGCGGCTCGTATAATCCCGGCTTGTCAAACACTTGAAAAGGGTAAAATGGCCACCTGCGCTGTTATGATTGCATTTGGATAAATTTAGCAGAACCGTTCGCCGTTAGTCACCGGGGCTAATTATATTTTCGCAGATTAGCCTGCCCGCCGAAACGCGAGAAGGCTAATCTGAAATTACCTCCGCGGTTTCCACCCCTTTACACACTTCTCGTTTCACTCCGTGATCCGCTTTGCTATTCAGACTGACCATTAACGCAACCATTTCACTGCTCCTCTGCTTGCTCGACAATCGAGTTTCGTAACACGAGTTTCGATCCACGAAGAAACTACGGTACAGCACGTTGTTGTTGGTACACACGTGGATTTCATAATTATTTTGAAATCGTTTCACTCGTGTGAAGTCACGTTGGTTGCTTTCTTTCGGTTGGCTCTCGTGTTGACATAAATGGTTTGGAACAGTTGTTACTTTGTCGATCGTCGATGAATACACTATTATCAGAATTTATGTATTTTATGTTTATAAGAAACTCGACTCTTAACTAACGAAAGAAATAGGTAGGTAGATACGCGGCACGCACATCGAGAATTTGTTACCGGTTAGACACAACAATGTCCGATTTCATTCGATCGTGTTACGCGAATTCAATCCATATGCGGATCACTTTTGATATTCCATATCCGAATCGAAGATACTAAAATGTCATTTAGACGTAAGAAACGGGAACGATCCAGACTGGTCGATTAAAATTTAATTATAAATCGTAAAAGATAAAGTGCAACGACTATCGTCTCGACAGTTTGGAATATTAGGCAGACGGATAATTATCAGGGTTGAGCGTTCGTTTTGCAAAGTTCAACGGATCTCTATCATTCGGTGGCCTGAATCACGATCGAACGATCTATCGGTGAGATCGTGTGTGTCGATTGTGCCGAGTCAAGTGGGATATACTTATAGGACATGATATGACTGCCGTTTCATTCAGCGAGGCCAGTCCAACAATAAAGTCATGCATGAGAACACGAGTCGGTCCGCGAGGCGCAGACGTAATATTAGAAAATCGCCGGATGTCTGGATCGCAACAACCTGTCGGCACCCAATATGTCAGGTGATTTCACAGGTGAATGATGATGCTCGCGCAACGTCACACCGATTTCACGAGAAACTCGGCGGTAATCTGGTCCAACGCGTAACAAAATCTGCTTTCAACCGAGATGAAAAGAAATAATATGAATAAATATGAAAGTTACGATACGTTTATATACGTATTAGGTAATTCGAGATTTATAAGTAAGCGTGTTATTGACACGAGTAATTATGTATGCGCTTTGAATTTTTCACAAGATGAAATTAATTAGTTTGATTTCTAAAGTAATTGATTTTATATATATAAAAAGATACAGAGGTCACTTCGCGCAAGTTCGAATAGTAAATTGTGATATCGATTACTATCGTTATTAATAATTCTGTTTTACGTAATATATTAGAACGGATTGTGTATATACATATATGGATTATTATTTTTGAGAGGAAAAAAAGCTACTAAAATAAGAGTATGATCCATCATACGCTCTATTTTCAAAGTAGATGAATTTTTTTATAAGAAAGCGAGATACGAAGATTTTTGCGATCGACCGTACGCTCCGAAGAGTAATCGATTAAAATCGTTTCGTTTATTCAGAGAATTTTCTTCCCCTTCTAATACAATATTCGCGATAATTATCGAGCATGACTTGGCGAAAATCTTTAGCAACGATAAAGATGTTAACAACACCTATAAAAACACTTATTTACCTTTGCCGCGTGAATGGCACGAAATCGATTTTTTATTATTATAAAAATCCGCGTAAAATTGAGACGCGCGGATAGAGAATCGAATTACATACATAAATTATATTTTCCACCAGACAATTCGCGCTCTTTTGACAAAAAGTACCATCATCTCGTTTACTCTACCCCGTAGTAAAATTTAATCGATCCAACGTTTGATCGAGGATCGCGCTCGGCAGCGATCAAAGATAGCGGTAATAATATATCTTAGAAAATGGTGGTAAGTGAAACAGAGAGAAAATAATTCTGTACGCGATGCCGCGTACATTATAAACGTGAAAACTTCGTCGTATCGTCATTCCATCCGCGTAAAATTGAGACATTGAATCATGGCTAATTAAAAATACGTGTAGATAATTAAACGAGCCGACACAACGTGACTGCGTACACGTTTCTAGTAGTATCTACGCATCGTCGAGAGGCAGACCACGTTCGAGTCGATTCCGCAAAACAGCGATTAGCCATGCATTCGCCGTTGTATATGTGTCTGTCGGGTCCTGTGACGCCCTGTTAACTACATGTGACGCCGGTAACACAACATATTTAATTAATTTTTATGCGACCATCTAAACACACGTTGAAATGCCAAGTCCGCCTAGTTTCTTAGATCTTGTTTCTCGATCGACGTTGATTTATTAGGGGGAATACGATTAGTGGTGTCTCGCTTCTAATATATATATACATATATATTTTTTTTTCGAGGAAACTAAAAACAGAAAAGGGGATATAAAAAATAAAATAAAATAAAATAAATAAAAAGAATTGGAAACTGGCGCTTGAAATCTTTGTCTCTCCCCCGGTTTCGGGCGCCGCTTTGGCGCTGTTTCTCCCAGACATTTGCTACTAACACAAGTGTTCCTTGCAACGATGTTGGCCATCCAGGTGTGAAGTCTCGCGGGATCCATGCAAATTACCCAGCAGTAATTTCTAACCGACACGGGGGACACGCGTCTCGAGGCCGTTTTAATCGAGTCTGATCAACCGGCCGTGGTCGAGAATGGTATTCGATCGGGGTGAGGTATCGATGCATCGGTATCGAAACTATTTGCCAAGCATTCGGACGCCCCTCGCCTCTCCGTCGCGAGCCACGAATTCCCACGTCCCACGCCGTCTCGGTGACAGGCGGTTGTCGAATGGAATTTCACTTGTCGACCGCGTTCTCTCGCGGGACGAAAGAGAGAGAGAGAGAGAGAGAGAGAGAGAGAGAGAGAGAAGTTGATTGGAAGGAATTAAGAGGAATCGTTGGATAACGATTAAGATGATTAATGATCTTCGTCCCCATCTAATTTTCTTGTACAGTTTCGATCATTTTCAACATTTTTCCATGTTTTTCGAAATCTCAACGGAATTCAATTGCAAATTTTATCAATTTTATACACTGCGATATAAGTAACGGTTTATTATTTTTTATTGTACTTATGTGGCCAGCCAATTCTCTCGATATGAATATCTAATTGAGAACGTTTCAAGTTGGTACAAATCATCATACATTGACATACATCAACGCAGTACATTGTCCCAATAAACATTTGATCCAATTTTCTTTTGGTTAAACGGCTTCGAAAGAAGTTGTATGAATTTCATGCATTGTACGTTACTCTTTGAGAGATTTTCTAAAATTTTGTGTACTTTTTAAATAAAACAAAAGAAAAGCCCAAATTTTTGATATATTTCGAAATAAATAATTTTGTGATTTCTTTTTATCATCGTTAAATACATAATTTCAGATCAAAGTAAGAGTTATTTTTCAGTGATCGATTTTTCTTTTATTCATATAATAATTGACTCTCATCTTGGCGCGACAAATTGAAGTAATCGATAAGAAATATTATTCCATTTTTATCCGTTCAAATATCAATTTATTCAGTAGATGGAAAGTGTTTTAATTATCGCGTCGAAATACACTAATTGCCGGAATGGAAACACAAATGTTGTCATATGGACATTCTAAATAGAAGAATGAACGAGTTTGTGGTCACCTGGGTTTGCACACAAGCTTACACTCCTCGCGAAAGAGCAGATCATTCGATCGATTTTATTTCTAGACGCGGAAAAAAATTCGTAAAGAGGAGAAAAGAGTGTCACGTTTGAAGAATGTCGAATAAAGATACGATTCATTATGGTAATTGTCATAAAACTTGCTAAGCGCTCTTTTAACGACACCATTCGAAATTTTCCTGCTGTAAATTTTAATTATACTTTCGTATCATTTTACGATCATCTGTTACCACGAAGAAGAAATTCTCTCAACTTATCATCTACAATTTTTTCCTCCCCTCCCTCGAACGTACAATGCATAAATTTATATATTTAAATAAAGAGAGAAGGGAAAAAAGAGAGGAAGGAGAAATTGTTGCGATTTACTTATCCGCAACAACATTGCCAAAACGTGGAACACGAATTCAGAATTCCATTCCAGGAAGAATATCTCCAAGCGTTATACAAAAGCGTACCAATAAACGGCAAAAATTTTTTCTACTACATCGTTTACCACAAAAATCCACGACAAAATACTTCCTCCCCGAGTTTGAATGCGAAATATTACTGCTCGCCGTAATTCCATTCGCGATACCTCTATCAAAGCTATTTAAATAGGCGTTCATTGCTGACCTATCGCCGGCCACAAATTCCCACGTCCTACGCCGA